CACCAAAGCGAATCAGGAGCTCGGATTTCCGGGTGATCGATAACTTCACATCAGAGGTTTGTATTATAATATAGAATCACACCGCCCCCTTTCGGTTCTATAGGTCCAAAGCAGCGACATACCAAGTAAATTGATCTCAGAATCGGTTATCTCAAGGTTTAATTAGGTCTCGCGGTTGTGAGGCATGGAGTTCTCTAAGTTCGGCCAACATATTTAGAAGGCCTTGGGCGTTTGTGTACATGCAAGATAGGGTTTTTGTTGTTAGGAGTGCTTTCAGGGATGTCAACTTTGTGTTTATAAGCCGGCCGTTACGTGGCAGGCAATTAATCTTTTTTGGTTTATGTATTTCAGTCGTGTTGCATGGCATTATTAAGCGTTCCTGAACAGAAGTTTCACTCGTGCTGTGCTCTGTCCTGTTGTGTGCCGTGGGCGCTGTTATGTCGGTCTCTCCGCAGGACTGTGCAAATAAAGAATCTGTAGCGTTTGCAAGTTCCATCGAATTGCTTTTGACTTTTGGCCGTTTGCCTGCTGCATTTAGCCGGATCTCTATTGGCAACCTGGCTCGAAATTTTAACCAGCTATCCGACAGAAATTGCGTCATTCCCTCGGAGTGTAGTATTACTTTAATTTGCCTTGGACCGCAGCCCTTGTAGTTAGGTGATGACAGACTCCTGTCAGGGATCTGGCAATAACATTATCAACAGAGAGTACTTCGCGGATGTAGCACCACTACTCTCGGTCATGTGTATGCGCATCGTGATCAGAAGATTGCAGAAGCTCGGGAACACAATGAACAAAGATTGTTTTCTTGCTATCCCTATTAGGAATGCCGCATTGGTCAACTGCTTCATTTAGGCGATATTTCCAAGATAGATCAGGTAATATGTGCACTCCGGTCGGTGAGTTGCGAAGACGAACTGCTGACAGCAGGACAGCCTCTGTCACATCTGTTGAGTCTAGTGTTACTCGAAGAATTCGAGGTTCACCAGAGTGCACTGAGGTCGGGTGACGCGATACGCGTTGCAGCATTGCAGGCTCAACCCAAATACCAATCGCCTCGCAGATTGAACTCCAATGGTTGCGATCGTCTTGCAACTTGCCTTTTATTGTGCCAAATTTGGATTCGGGATTCGAGAGTTAACGCAGCGTGGTTTTGTCTAGCGAGTGTTGGCTTTATACTTTTTGCCGGCAATTTGTGTTGTTTAGAAGGCACCATTGGAGTTGACGGTGAAAGCCGCGTTGCGCTACGTGTGCTCGGTGCAGAAGATGGACCTATGTGTGTCGCTCCCGGTGTGTTTGTCGAGGCAATCGATGCGTACGTTACCTGCTTGTTATCTGCACCGGATTGCCTTCGGCTCTGAGCTGTCGGTGTCATGGCTGAATTTCCAGGTGAAACGTCTATGTCTGAAGAAGTGGAAGCAGGCATGTTTGAGACTTGTTCACTTATGGGAATGAGATGACCCAGTGGATTTGGAGTCACAGACTCTGCAGTGCGGTTGAAGCGTCTAGCTTTCTTACTCGGCTTAGATTCAGAGCTTACTTTGGCTGGGTGTGATATTATCGTGGCCATATTTACCTACGTGGGATCGATCTCAGTATTTATAAAATGCGAGATTATCTCAGTCATCCTATCGCATTTTTTCATGAGCAAAGATAAACAGTTGACCACTGGAATGACTTGACACGTTGGGCAAAACCAAATTGTGTCAGCAACTTTGTTTGCCTGTCTCACTTCTTGGACGGATTTGTCTACACATTGCGGAGAGTATGATCTAATGCAGCTAGAACAGGTAACACGGATCCTAAGGACTTTACTGCAATTGTCTGCGCAACATAGGCGACGTTGAACCATTGGAGTGCTAGTCGTCCTCTTATCGTTTGCAGCAATGCCCATCTGAACGCTCACCTTGATGAGAGTTCTTTGCGCCAGGTGTGACACACAAACACGTCAGAACACGCAGAGGAATTGAGAGTTGTTCAACCGCATTAAGGTCAGTCGGTAGAGGCAGATGAAGGTCGTAACGCGCAGACTGTCGGGTTCAGCGATCAATCGAATCGCAGTTGAACATACACACACACACACACACACATAAGGCGGCAGGGTGTGTTGACCGGCCTGCCTTAAGCGACGATGCAGGTGGAGCGCTGATAAGCATCCCTAGAGCTGTTCAGTTGATGAGCGAAGCAAAAAGACTGTAACTTTGTTAAGCTGCAACTTGCAGGGATGGTTGCCGCGTAGTTGGGGAGCCCTCGGCTTCTTCTTCTGA